CCCCCCCCCGCCCCCGTTCTATTGAACCCACATTGCCAGCCGGCCAGAGTACCCAGCACTAGAGACGTCCCCTCCGATTCTTGAAAAAAACCTCTAAACTTTGCACCTGTCCTGCCCCCGTTCCCTAGCTCACTACAGCCTCCCGGGACCCTCGCACGGGGAGGGGGGGGTGAGTTGCTGTCGGAAAGGGAAAGAAATGGAGGTCGCCAACTATGTCCCGGACTGGTCTTTGCAGAGGGGGCCAACTATCCTAGGGGCTCTCAACCTTTCCCACACTGCAGGGGGGAGGGATGGGGCCTTAAAGACGGGGTGAATGGAGTTACAAACCCCCGAGGCCCTAAAATAAATTCTATAAATGACTCAGGGCAAGAATCCCAACCCAGCCCCGAGAGCGGATCCCATCTTGTCCCTCGGAGGAGGAGAATGAACGACACTTTTCAAGCTCTAATTGAAGCCTTCAGCTCGCCCACATTTCTCATCAGCCTCCTGCTTTGATTTTCTCGCTTGTAGAAGCCGGATCTGGCCCGGGGGGGAGCCATTCACAAGCAAGTTCAAGGGTACAGTCTTAGTCTAACCCTTCCCCCCCTCCCCTGCAGTATAACACCCCCAACGCCTGTCTCCGCTGCACTGACTTGGAAGGGATGCTCGGGACCCCAGTTTCGGCCCAGATCTCGATTCGGCAGAAGGAAGCTCCGAGAAGGGCCACTGAACAGGCGGATGTTCCTGGCTGGTTGTGCAGCTACTCCACGAAGGCAGTGAACGCCGGTTAATAGGACCGGTCCGCTCCACTGGTTTCAGCTCTCCCAGCGGAGAGCAATGCAAGGCCAAACCATCCGGCACCCCGGCGCTCCCTTGGTTTGCTGGCATGTTTCACGGCTGTGGCCCGACACGCAGGGCCGGGGCTGCCGGAGGACACACGGCACGCCGCAGAACACCAGCTTTCGAGGTTTTAACCACAAACCCCTCTCTCCTCTGAAGCGAAAGCAATGTGACTTCATTCGCTGTCATGGCGGAAGGGGCCCCTGGGGCCGGAGGGGAAAGTTTGCACATGAAAATCACGGATGCTTGACAGAGCACCACCAGCGTAACAGCCTGTTAGACGGGGTGGAGCCCGCACGGCAATCCCCGTGCGCATCCATGAAAGCAACGCCACAGGGAACAGCCCTTAGGACCAGGGCCTACCCATCCAACGGGCCTGAACGGCCAGCGGTCACGGAGCCTGGAGTCCCACCTCTCCATCCTGGGCGCTGGGCGCATCCACCTCCGGCCATTGCTGGGAGATCAACGTGGCACCTACTACTGGGAGAAGAGCTCGGGGAAAAGACCATTTGGCCTTTGATGCCCGAGAGGAACCTTAGACCAGGCCCCCCGATCCCCAGCAGAGCAAAGGAGAATTTCTCCTGTCCCCTAGACTAGGACACAGCTCGGCCTGGCAGACTTCCACTATAAATCCTGCAATTTCCACAGTGTTCATTGTAAAGCCTTTTTCCAACAGAATGATTTAAACGTTGTCAAGTGGGCAAAATTAGGGTTTTTAGTTTCACAGGGCGGGAAGTGATTTGGGGGTGAGAATATTTCAAGACAGCAAACACCGATTCCAACGGGGGTGTTTTACAGCCACACGCAAACTTGTCCCATCTCAAAACATACGAAAAAAATATCCTTAAAAAAAAATCAAACAAGGTCTCAAGCAGCGTTTCTCTCCCATTGCCTCTCCGCCAGGGCCGGCATTAGGCTCAGTGCCTAGGGCCCACGATACTTTTAGGGGCCCACAAACATGTTTTAATTTCTTTTAAAATCAGAAGAAAAAAAAATGAACTTTTAGGGTCGAAGAAAATGTTTTCATTGTTTTCCTCACATCCGAAAAAAATGAAACTTCTAGGGCCCATGAAAATCTATTCAATTTTGCCTCAAACAGAAAAAAAAGTTGAAGTTATATCAAAAATAATTTTTAATTTTTTTTTTGAATGGAGGAAGGGGACCACGAAGGAAAAAGTGCCTAAGGCCTACGAAAGTCACAATGCGGCTCTGCTCACCAACGGAAATAAAGAGCAGCGGGTGAGTTTGGAAAAAAAAAAAGGAATCGAGGTGTACCCACAGCGGCCAGTGCGAAAGCGAAACCATTCCGCGCCTCGGTGCGGCCCACGGTGCTGTGGCCTGGCCTCCCGTCAGGCTAGAGAACTCCAGCTTGTGGGGGGAGGAGAGCTCACCGAAAAGAGGTGAAATTAACAGCAAAAACATGTAACAGCTTCCCTCCCCGGAGCCGCCTCCGCTGGGGCAGGCGAGGGGCGACGGAGAGAGCGAGCGAAGGCGTAACCCAGCCACGGAAGGGCGCCCGCTGCCACGGAAGGGTCACTATGGCACGTTCTGTCCCCCGGACAGGCAGCTGTGCAACTGGAGAAGACCCCCGGCATTCCGGTGGCGGCGGCGAGGCGGGCCCTCCCCCCCCGGG